TCAGGTTGATCCCGGTGCGCGTACAATGTTATCTGAACGATATAATCATCCAGTTCTTTCTGTTCAGCTCAATCGGACCTGGAAATCACAATCAATACTCTTCAGGAGCACGGGTTCTCCGTGAGCTTCAAGAAGAGTCATACAATCCCCTCGACTCGACTCCTTCACTTAGGAGCAATAATAGATTCACATCTTTGCAAGGTTTATCTTTCTCAGGATCGCAGGATCAGTATCCAGACACTCGTCCACCGGGTTTGGAGAGAGAAGGTAGTTCCTCTGGTCCAGCTGTCGCAGCTGTTGGGGAAAATGTTCTCTTGTCTGGGAATCGTTCCGTGGGCCAGACTACATTCCAGAAACCTCCAGTGGTTTCTCCTCCCTTTCCAGAAACAAGGAAGGTAAGAGTTCCACACCACACACTGTCATCACTTCTGTGGTGGACTTCATCCGCAGTGACCAAGGGATCCCTTTTCAAGGAGTCTCCCAGGCTCACCTTGACCACAGATGCCAGCCTGTTTGGCTGGGGTGCCCATCTACAGACTCATATGGCACAGGGTCAGTGGTCTCAGTCGGACTTAACCCACAACATAAATTGGCTCGAACTCAGGGCAATTCATTTGGCACTCCGTCACTTCTCCACCCTCGTGGCGGAAAAGCACGTTCTAATACTAACGGACAATGTGGCAGCCAAAGCACACGTCAACAGGCAGGGAGGGACCCGGTCATGGTCTCTCATGCTAGAGGACTCTGTGGGCAGAGTCCAATCTGGGATCCATCTGTGTGGAACACATATCGGGAGTGGCGAATCGACAAGCAGATTCCCTGAGCAGGGTTACGGTCGACCACTCGGAGTGGCGCCTGGACCCGGCTCTGTTCAGGGAAATCTCGGTCAGATTTGGTCAACCACAATTGGATCTGTTTGCCTCCCCGACAAACTCCCAACTGCCCAGGTACTTCACCAGGTTCCTGTCCCTGGGGCGGAGGGAACAGATGCTCTCCGAAGCGAGTAGCCCAGGGGACTGCTTTACGCATTCCTTCCCCTTCCTTTGATACCGGCAATCATCCGCAAACTTCTTCAAGAACAGGCGGAAGTAATCTTAGTTGTTCCACAATGGCCAAGGTGACCGTGGTTTGCCGGCCTTGTGGATCTGTCCCTCTCTCTGCCGTGGAGGATTCCACCATCTCTCTCAGGGGAATCTTCAACATCCAGATCCCCAGTGGCTCCAGTTGGCCGTCTGGCACTTGTGCGAGAGAGTTTAGCTAGGCAATCGTATTCGTCCGGGGTGATCTCGATGATTCAAGCCTCGAGACACACCTCGACCAATAGAATTTATGATGCCACGTGGAGGAACTTTTGCGCGTGGTGTACTAAGTAGAATCTTAGACCGTTGTCGGTCACCATTCCTAACATCTTGGACTATCTTTTGGAAGGTATAAATAAGGGATTGTCACATAGCACCATCCGCAGACAGATTGCTGCCTTATCAACGATTCTTACCTGCGACAATCAGGTTCCATTATCGCAACACCCAGCAGTGGGCACCTTTCTTAAAGGAGCAGTTAATGCTAGACCGCCTGCGGTGCATCATTATCCCTCGTGGGACTTACCAAGGGTGCTGCACGCTCTGTTATCTTCACTGTTCGAACCCATCCAGTCTTGCTCACTTCAATTCTTGTTTCTGAAGGTTGCCTTTTTAGTGGCCATCACGTCTGCCAGACGTATTTCGGAACTGGCCACGCTTTCGGTCAGGAGCTACTTGTGCACCTTTTTCGAGGATAGAGTAATCCTTCGATTGGACCCTTCTTTGATCCCGAAAGTCAATACCTGGTTCCATAGGTCCCAGGATCTGGTTCTTCCTGACTTTTGTCCTAACCTGTCACATCATCTGGAGAGACAGTGGCATAAATTGGACATGCGCAGGGCCCTGAGCCATTATGTTAAGCGGACCTCTTCCTTTCGTAAGTCAGAGGCCCTGTTCGTATCTTTTCAACCCTCTTCCATGGGTCAGAAGGTCTCTTCTTCGACCATTGGGCGATGGATTAGAGCATGTATTGCTTGCGCTTCTCAGTCACAGTCTCTCGCAGTTCCTACACACATCACCGCTCACTCCACACACAGTGTGGCCACGTCAGCGGCCTGGTCTACCCAGGCTTCTGTTGAGATCTGTAGGGCAGTGACTTGGTCTTCTCCCTCTTCCTTTATAAGGCATTACAGGCTTGATAAATTTGCTGCGGCAGATGCCTTGTTTGGTAGAAGGGTTTTACAACAGGTAGTTTCTTCTCAGGGGACACAAGCCTAGACTCTTTCCCCCCCCCCCCCCCGGTAGGGACATGAACGGCTTTGGTATGTCCCACCGATGGATTCTACATTCATCATACTGGAGAAGGAGCGTTCTTTTACCTGAACGCCTTTTCTCAGCATGATGATGTAGAATCCACACCCATCCTTCATGGCCGTCTAGGCAGGTGTCATATTAGGAGGAGCCATTGCGTCGGACTTTGTCATGAAAGCTTCGCCTCGTCAAAACTGGGAAGGCACAGCCAGAGGGAAGCGTGGCTAAAGTTCTGACTTAGTCTCATCTGAGCAGGAAGGCTGAGATTACCCACCGACCAGTGGATTCTACATCATCATGCTGAGAAAAGGCGTTCAGGTAGACAACGCCCCTTTTGAAAGGCATTGCTATGAGATGAGTTAAGATAGTACTTATTTCCAAAGCAATATCATGTAATACTACTATGAAATACAAGATAAATGCATGCAGTCTGTTCGTCTCTTGTTTTTTTTTTTTTTTTCAGGATAATCGTAGTGCTTTCCTGATTGGGTATGAATGGGTTTTTTTTTCAATGTGTAGATAAGATGATGTTGCAATTTGCAAGAATGTTCTTGTTGACTTTTATGACTGATCAGTTAACATGTAGCCAAAATGATCAGGAAGTTCAATTTTCACTTCCTTTCAGTGGATCTTTATAATCACACCCTGCTGTTTCTCTGATAAAGAATTATTGTGCTCGCAGTTGGGGTTTCAGGGGTTGGTATTCTCTTTAGGGATTTTATTATTATTTTGCCTTTAAAAGGTCACTGAAAGTTTGGATTTTTATCATCTTTCTTTTTTAGACCAATACTCCTGTCTGAGTACTTTTGATCACTTGTTTTGAGAATCCCAAAATCTTTTCAGAACTTTTGATCAGAAGTTATGTAAGAATTTTGGACTTTCCAGTGAAATGTACCTAAAAATTAAGATTTAATCTCTTTTTTTAATAATAATAATGATAACAACAACGATGATGATGATGTTGGAAGGGACCTTGGAGGTCATCTAGTCCAATCCCCTGCTCAGGCAGGAAACCCTATATCATTTTAGACAAATGGCTGTCCAATCTCTTCTTAAAGACTTCCAGTGTTGGAGCATTCACAGCTTCTGGAGGCAGGTTGTTCCACTGGTTAATTATTCTGTCAGGAAGTTTCTCCTTAGTTCTAGGTTGTTTCTCTCCTTGATTAGTTTCCATCCGTTGCTTCTTGTCCTGCCTTCAGGTGCTTTGGAGAATAGTTTGACTCCCTCTTCTTTGTGGCACCCCCTGAGATATTGGAACACTGCTATCATGTCCCACCTCATCCTTCTCTTAATTAAACTAGAAATACCCAATTCCAGCAACCGTTCCTTGTATGTTTTAGCCTCCAGTCCCCTGATCATCTTTGTTGCTCTTCTCTGTACTCTTTCTAGAGCAGACATGTCAAACGCACGACGTCTCAAAACTTTTCCCCCATTGCCGGCACTGAGGTGGGTGCAGTTTCATGATGACACGTCCAGCCTGGGGGCCAGCAGTTTAACACCCCAGTTTTAGTGTCTCAACATCTTTTTTACATCGTGGTGACCAAAACTGATGCAGTATTCCAAGTGTGGCCTTACCAAGGCATTGTAAAGTGGTATTAACACTTCATGTGATCTTGATTCTATCCCTCTGTTAATGCAGCCTAGCACTATGTTGGCTTTTTTGGAACCTGCAGTACTCTGCTGGCTCATATTTAAGTGATTGTCCACTAGGACCCTGAGATCCCTTTCATAGTTACTACTATTGAGCAAGGTACCTCCTAAACTATAACTGTGCATTTGGTTTTTCTAGCCTAAATGTAGAACCTTACTTTTCTCACATTCTGTTTCTAATCAATATCTTTGATTAATTGAATATTATCTCATTTACTAAAATGTTCATTTCATTTATTGTATTTTTATTTGGTATAGTATATGCTTTCATTATATAAAATACCACTATTTTTCTTTCACTTTTCATTGTATAGTGTCATACCAATCAATTTTAAATTGATTATCTTCTTAGTGTATTTCTGTTTTAGATGATCCAAGTTGCTTGATAAATTGCAATATTTTTGAAAACCTTCCAGAATAGAACTCAGTGATAATTGAATGCAAGAAACACAACTCTGAGCCCACAATCAAAATTTTCTATAGTGGTGTACTCACTGATAGAATTTAGTAATTGACACACACAAGAGGAACCTCTCAAACAATTAGGATGTAGACATGATCCTATAAGTGAGGACATAATGTGGATAACAAAAGTGTCTGTTTCTGAACAAAATTTTAAAAAGAGATCTGAAATTTCTTGAACTGAAAAATTCAGATATTCTGTGTTGAGAGATTTTTTTATGTGCTCTTTCTGTGTTGGCAGAAGTGGGACTAACTCTACTATTGAACCAGTGGGACTAACTCTACTATTAGTTGGGAAAATTAATTCCTTTACAGAATAAATGTATACTGTACAACAGTTTGAGAACAGAGGATTATCAGGACCATATGAAGCAAATTAATGCTTTTAATTCATTCTTAATTGAAATGGATTGCCTGTGGGCCTATTTTTATCTGGAACTATGCCTTCCGCTGAAATTAATGGAGAAATCTTTCTTTAAAAAAAAAAGCTTGAGTTATGTACCACACTACATAATTGATCTCTATGATATGCTGGCTTATAACATATACTTCTTTTAGGTTCCAGTTTGTCATCATCTTGCTTCCAATATCAGCAGCAGCTTTGTTCCTTGATCAATGTGACAGTTTGGAAAACCTTAGCAGTTGACGAAATGATTGAGAGTCGGGGAAAATATGATTTCTATATTGGGCTTATGCTGGCAATGAGTTCCAGTCTTTTCATTGGAGGGAGTTTCATCCTGAAGAAAAAGGGTCTCCTTCGATTGGCAAGAAAAGGCTCCATGAGAGCAGGTAAAATTTTGAGTTTGTTTTTCTTTTTTTTAAAAAATACATTTTTGATTAAATTTGCATAAGCTATGTAAGATTTTTTTTCAGTTTAAAAACATCAGTTTTTAAATAGGTATTCTTTGATTTCATGCAGAATCTGGTATAAAGGACAAAATTCCAAGTGCTTATTTCAATATTTTAAAGCTAGTTTTCAGTTGTATTTTCAGCTTCTTCTAAAATCTCAAAATGTGATTTTGGTTTACATGATGCAAGAAAAGTTCCTGTTTTTTTTCATACTTGCTTTAATTATTGTGAACATCATTTTTAATGTTGTGTAAATGATTGAAGGCTAAAGTGAATAGGATAATACAAAGTTGAGGCCAATTTTTTCAGCTTTTTAAAAAGTTTTTGAGGAGAATTTAAGATTTCCCCCCCTATAAATTATGTTATCTGTTTTGGAGTATGTATTGTATTTACTGTGTTTCCTACCTCAAAATCGCAGAAAGCTACACAATAGATGTTGGGCAAATATGATTAGCTGGTTTCTGGGGATGCACAAAGACCTGAAACCTTAGATTTCCATCTTTGTGTTAACATCCAGCTTGAGTATCCAAATAAAAATTCAGGATCATTTCTTTTCTTAAAAGTTTACTGTTTATTGAATACATAGCATAATTATGGCAAGTTAAAACTAACTCTAAAATCCCAAGGCATCAGACCATAGCATATAACAATAACTTTTGCAGCCAAACCCCCTCATGTAAACAAGTTCTCTTTGTTATGGGAAACGTCTGCTGTCTCCTTCACATCTGCTAGAATGACCTTGAATGTTTTCCAGACTGCGACTCTTAGCAAGCTTTTGTAGAACTGGAGAGGTTTCATTTCTCTGACTAACCCATTCAAAAGCAACATGTTTCCCCCCCCCCTTATTCTAATGGCAAGATGCAAACAGGCACTTAGCTGCCAAATTTTCACTCTTGACACTTTGGTCATAAATTGTGAATGAAAGGACTCACTACATCCTTGCTGATATGGTGGTTATTTTCACTCTAAAATGCATAGAGACTTATTTTTTCTAACATGCACACAAGCCATTGGACTTTAAATCATGCCTTATCAATTGGACTTGATAGAGACAGTTGCTTCTTTGTAACATCTTTAATGACCATCAATAATACTGACTGGCTATTAACTTGGCCAGGAATTTTTAACAAGTAGCGTGGCATTTTTACAAGAATTTGAACATGTAATTTTAAACTATAGTAATCTGTAATAGATCATAATAACATTCTTTTCTTTAAAAAAAAATAGGACAAGGTGGCCATGCATACCTTAAAGAGTGGCTATGGTGGGCTGGACTCTTGTCAAGTAAGTACCTGGAAAAACTAAAAACTGTCTGTTAGCATAACCACTAATTCCTACATTGTACTAGGTCTGGTGTAGTGGCTAAGGTACTGGCACAGAAACCAGAAGATTGTAAGTTTTAAGCCTAAAGAAAAACTGGTGGGTAATTTGGGACCAATTATTGTCTCTCAGCCCAACCCGCCTCAAAGGCTTATTGTTGTGGGGAAAATAAGAAGCAGAAATATTTATTACACGTTTGCTGCCTTGAGTTGACAGACAGAAATACAGACACACACACATATACACATGTAAGTATGCATGTATGTGGCATGATAAAAAATATAATAATAACAATACTAATAATACAATTTCTGAAATCAGCCAAAAAGTGATTTTAGTAGGAGTAGGCAGTAACAATGGACCGAAAATCTTTTAACTTTCTGATCGAAAGGCTCAATGTTTCTAGTGGAATTAAAAACTTACTAAGATTTTTTGATTAAAGATTAATATACAATACATAAAAATAGATCAAAAATTATAATCTGGCATTCTTTTCAGTGAAATCCAAATATTTAATACTAGATATGGAATGATCATATCCAAAGTGGGCAAGATTTGGGCTGTTGATGGCTCCTTAACTCAAATATTACCGGTTGTGATGATCCAGGGTACGGCACAGAGGGAACGCAGTCAGCTGGCAATTCAAACTGCCCTTCAATTGCTCCACATTTTCCCCAAATGCTCCCACGTTTCTGGCAAGCCCCAGAACAAAGTGAGGCACACACACCTTCAGCAGCCTCTGGCTGCAAGTAGTTTCACATACAGTTAAATTAGAAGAGTAATTTACTCAAGGCCACATAGATCAGGGCTTTTCAACCTTTTCACCCATTGTACCACTTTTAGGATATGGCAACATCCGAGTACCACCAGTCGCCTAGCATGGTGTCAAAAACTTGATGACCCCTCCCCAAAAAGGAAAAAAGTGATAAAGTACAGGTAGTCCTTGACTGACAACAGTTCGCTTAGTGACTGTTCAAAGTTACAATGACACTGAAAAAGTGCCCCCCAAGCCACAGCCAAGCAAGACACCTGCCTGCCCACCCGGTGGCGCTCTTCCTCCTGTTCGAGGTTTTCATTGTTGTGAGGATTTCTGTTGAGGATTGGCAGCGGGGGTGGGGTGGGGTGGGTGTTTGGTTTTTATTCCCCCCGTCTGCTGGGTGGTTGCAGCAGGTTTTGGTCACTTCACATGACCCTGGGACATTGTGACCGTCATAAATATGAATCAGTTGCCAAGCATCTGAATGTAAATCACAAGACCCTGGAGATGCTGCAACATTCCAGCTGATTGGTGCTTCTTCAGGGCTCAGCACAAGCGCCAGGATCAGCACTGCTTTCCAGCTGGATCCTGGCGCTGATCCTGGCACTTCCACTGAGCCCTGACAGCCCCGAAGCTCCGATCAGCTGGAAAGCGGCACTGATCCTGGCGCTTCCGCTGAGCCCTGACAGCCCTGCAGCTCCAACCATCTCTTGCTCAGGCTTGTGCGGTGCTGCCACCGGTTCAGCTCATTCCCCTCCCCCGCTACCACTTTTCTAGGATGGTCACGTACCACCTGCCAGGTGCCAATGTACCACAGGTGGTACCCGTACCACTAGTTGAAAAGCCCTGACGTAGATAACAAGGAATGAAATATACATCCACGAGTCTGTGGAAATACAAACTTGCCTGAGCAGTTTCAGAAGAGAAGCCAAAATTCAATCCGAGGTCTTTGAACACCAAATCAAGTTTTGTCAGCCAGTCCAATGGTCAGTTTCAGGGTTTCCAAGCAGAAATCACAATACAGAACAAGAGATCAGAGTTGTTTCCAAGATCAGCAACAGCACACAAAACTCCAAGAAATCAGTGTTTGTTCCCGACAAATTCCCCTCCCCATAGCGTTTCCTTAAGTCTCAGTCTCCAGGTGTGCCTTGTGGAGAGGGGCGGGGCACTCTCCTCCTGAGTAGTTGAACCTGCCTGCGTTGTTCCCTCCTTTTCTCCACTCTCCATGCTCTAGGATCAGGAGAGGGTGGCCCTAGTTCATCACCTGAGCTCTGTCTCTCATGTTCATCCTGTCCCAATCCTGAAACGCCCTGGTCTGCCTCAACCTACTCTTCCCCAAATCCTTCTGAAACCACAGACACCTCTCCCTCGACAGGCTCCAGTTCCTGCTCATTTTCCTATGCAGATTCAGGCTCCAACAGAGGCATGACACTGGTAGTACCATGCAGCCCTAAGAAAAGCACAGCTGCTTTAAGGGTAGGGAGCAGATACAACAAAGGGTGCCTATACTTGATCTGTAGCAGTGTTGTTAGCTTTGCATGTTTCTTTTTAATAGAAATGTGGGAGGTATATGACAATATTCAATTCTGTCATCTTGCAAAGTAACATTTTCTGTGGCTAGAAAGTAGAATATCTCAAGAGCTATGGTGGCACAGTGGTTAGAATGCAGTATTGCAGGCTGCCCACAACTTGGGAATTCTATTCTGACAGGCTCAAGGTTGACCCAGTCTTCCATCCTTTGGAGGTTGGTAAAATGATGACCCAGATTGTTGGGGGCAATATGCTAACATTGTAAACTGCCCAGAGGGCTGTAAAGCACTATGGGGCAGTATATAAGTGCTATTGCTAATTGTAAAAATAGGTAATAAAATTTATTAATCATTTACCAGAGACTATTCAGGTGCTGTTCTGCATTTTCCTTCTTCTTTCTTTTACTTTCTAATTTACTTTTATCTTTTCCAAGGATGAATTTACCTAAAATAGTAGGTATAGCTGTGAAAATTGTTGTTCACCTCTTCCCTTCCCATGTCTTTTCCTCAGTGGGAGCTGGCGAAGTTGTTAACTTTGCTGCATATGCATTTGCACCAGCTACATTAGTGACCCCATTGGGAGCTCTCAGTGTTCTTGTAAGGTAAGAAGGCAATTTTGTGTATCTCTGTAAATATCAAGAGACCTAGTTAAGCACTTGCTTTTAGTGCTGGCAGAGAACTGGGTTTCTGAGTCTGACTCAGTTGCTTTAAGTTTTGCTTTTTTGAATGTTTCAGTATAATTTTCTATCTTGATCTCTTTACTACTGTCTGCCCTTCCTCCCACCCATTGCTTATAAAGAAGTCACAACATAGATAATTTTAGAGATAAATCTTGGTGCAGCATAATAAAAATTTATCAGCAATTCAGTTTAATATTCTGTTTATAAGAGTATGCTTACATGATTGTAGATTTAATATTTTGAATTGAAATTAGATACAGGTACTCCTTAACTTACGACCAGACATGTAGCAACCAAAGTTACAATAAACACGCTTAAAAGATACTTATGACCCAGTCCTGAAGTTATGTTTGCTGCAATACGCCTGTGTTTGATTGCCCTTTCAACTGACCACAGAGATGCTGCAATATGTGTACCCCGCCAGTTTCCATTCCCCCACCATGCTGTCCCAAAGGGTCCCCACAGGCATGAAGACTGCAACTCACACTGAGGTTTTCTTTCCTCACTAGATGCTAGCTTTAGTTCCCCCAGCCTGGGAGCATTTCTTCTCACTAGCGCTAGTCTTAGCTCCCCATCGGAATTCCTTCTCCTTGCTAGTGCTAGCCTTAGTTCCCTCAGCATGAGCTGCGTTAGTATAACGCTAGCGCAGCTCATGCTTAGGGAACTGCACTATGGGCAGAGTTATTAGGCAAGTTGTAATTTGGAGGATTAATTTTCTTATTGAACAACTACAGTGTTCTCAGTCAATCCAAAATGTTAATAAACCTCAAACCTGAATATTTAAAAAAGTAAAAGTGAGGTTTTGATTTTCTTAGGGGAATATCTATGGGTGCACAATTATTGGGCAACTATTAGTGCGCAGGCTTATTATACAACTAAATGAAAAATGAAAATTTGCCCATCTCGTGCATCTGTTAAAGTGAGAGCAATAAGCAAACATCTCAACACATACAAATAAACATTTCTGACATCTCAACAAAAGAAATCAGTGACCCATATAGCCACTCTACTTTTCAATCACAGTCATAAGCCTTCCATTCATGGGAGTCTGTCAGTTCCTCGATCTGTTGATGATCAACGTTTTGTGCACAGCCTCCCAGACACTGTTCAGAGAGGTGTCCTTCACCCTAAATCTCCCGTTTAAGAAGGGCCCACAAGTTCTCAATAGGGTTTAGGTCAGGTGAGCAAGGAGGCCACGTCATTATTTGTTCATCTTTGAGGCTTTTACTGGCTAGTCACGCAGTGGAGTACTTTGATGCATGCAATGGAACATTGTCCTACATAAAAATCTTGTTCTTCTTGAAAGATGCTGGCTTTTTCTTGTACCACTGCTTGAAGAAAATGTCTTCTAAAAACTGGCAGTAGGTTTGGGAGTTGATTTTAAGTCCATCTTCAACCCTAAAAGCTCCAACTAGCTCATCTTTAGTAATACCAGCCCATACCAGTACCCCACCTCCACCTTGCTGGCGTCTTGAGTTGAAGTGGAGCTTTGTGCCCGTTACTGATCCAGCCTGGGCCCATCCACCTGGTCCATTAAGAGTCACTCTCATCTCATCAGTCCATAAAACCTTTGAAAAAATCTGTCTTCAGTTATTTCTTGGGTCAGTCTTGCCATTTCAACTTATGTATCTTGTTCAGTGATGATCGGGTTTCAGCCTTCCTTACCTTGGCCATGTCTCTGAGCACTGAAAACCTTGTACTTCCAGACAGGTTACAATTCTGGAATGTGGCAGCACTGGAGGGTAATGGGTTCCTGGTACTTTCACGTTTGATTCTTCTCAAATCTTTGGCAGTTAATGTGCGTCTTTTTTTCTCAACACATTTCTTGCAACCCTGTTGACTATTTGCAACAAAACGTTTGATGGTTCTATGATCATGCCCCAATATATTAGCAATTTCAGGAGTGTTGCATTCCTCTGAAAGACTTTTTACAATTTTTGACTTTTCAGAGTCAGTTACATCTCTTTTTTGGCCCTTTTTGCCTAAGGAAAAGAAGCTGTCTAATAATTATGCACACCTTGATATAGAGTTTTGATCTCCTTAGGCCACACCCTCATTACATAAATATATATCACCTGATATGCTTATATCCACTAAGCATTCAGATTTCTACAGCTTGGAGGTGGAAAATATGCATGAAAATGATATGGTCAAAATACTCACTTGCCTAATAATTGGGCACACCGTGTAAGACTAGTATTTAGTAAGGAAAGGAAAATGGAAAACTTTGCCAGTGTTATTTTTCACTCAGAAAAAAATAAGACACTCGGGGATTGTTCCACATGGAACAGCAATGGAGTGGCCTGTCCTCCTTTTCCACCTTACCTTGAGCTCCAGAGATCTTTGATCTTGTGATGGGGGAGGGGATATGACCCAAAGGGCTGTGCAAAGGATTGCAAACAGCATGAGGTATCTTGGGGCGGGGGGGAGGCCTTGGGAGGCCTGAGTCAGGTGGGCTTATGCCTGCACTGGGCCCCTTGGATCTCCCCTACCCATGAGGCACCCTACATTCCACTTAACAACATGCATTTTTTTAAACAAAAGCATCGGGGAGACCAGGAATGGGAGTTATTAAGACAAGTGGTTCACTTAACAATTGTAATGGGCAGACTTCATTATAGTCATTACTTGAAGACTACCTGCATAGAACTTTATCCTGGTCATGATCGTTTTTATTTAAAAATATCTAAAAGAATGAATTTATCATTAAAGTGTCACAACCAGAAAGCCCTTCCTCACTTTCTCTTTAACTCTGTGAGTGACCTCAAAATCTCTTCAGGATTTAGAGGCCTTCTGAAATTGGATTTTAAAATGTAAGAATGCCTTTTCCTCTGTCCAAAGACTATGCATTTCAGTTTATTTTAAATAAGGCTACTTCATAACTATTTATTTGGAATATATGCATTTTGCCTTCTAAAGCTGGCAGGCCTTCAAATAGCTTTCAATGTTTTAAAAAATGCAATCCCCCCAAACAGAAATTCTACTTCATAACAACACAAATGCATAATTGTTACATTGATATTTAAGAACAGTGCTTGATATCTAATTTATATTTGTGTGTTTTAGTGCCATTCTTTCATCATACTTCTTAAACGAAAAGCTTAATTTACATGGAAAAATTGGGTGTTTGTTAAGCATACTTGGTTCCACTGTGATGGTCATTCATGCACCTCAGGAAGAGGAAGTTGAAACGTTGAGTGAAATCTCCCACAAGTTAGGGGATCCAGGTGAGAGAAAGATTGATTACAAAGAATTCAAGGAGATAATACTTCTCTACTTGGTTGAGGTATATAATGGTGGGGCAGGATCTAACCCTGCTGCAAATATCCCCCTTCACATTCCACTAGAGTTCTGCATGGGATTTGTAACTGTATTTAGTTGCATGTATCTAACTGCCCCACAACTGGACCTAGTAAGACAGGATTATCAGTGAAGTTTTCAAATGCTATATTAGCTGAATGTGCTTACAGAGTTCATGTGCACTTTGCTCAATAAACAAGAATCTGAAGAGACATTTGTGAATGTTGAGAATGAGGTTGGAGTACATCTTTAATGCCATAGCTCATATTTAACTCTATCCTATATTCTCTGAATGCTTATGGAAGACTATTAAATGGCTTAGCGCTGCAAAGTTGTAGCAATAAATAGCTTAGAAAGACAGTAATTATGACACACTTTATTGTAAGATTTCCTTTTTTCCTGCAGCCTTTGAGCTATCAGAATGGCTTTGATGTATCCAGCAGAGAGAAGCATTCCTCCAATTTTCACTGGGAGTCAACATAGGTTTAATTGACAGCTAGAATTAAGGTTTTACGTACCCTCATGAAATGATATATGTATTCTGAATGATGCAAAAATTAAAACTGCATTATTAGTAAAGGTCAGATAGGGCACGGATATTTTTGATGCATTCCTATCTTTAACTCAGAGATAGGCTACCTGAATGTTGTACATAACTCTCCCCCCACCCTCATTATTTCATCAAATTTGGCAAAATGCATAAATTTGGAGATGTTACAACCTACAGTGAGGGAAAAAAATATTTGATCCCCTATTGATTTTGTACGTTTGCCCACTGACAAAGAAATGATCAGTCTAAAATTTTAATGGTAGATTCATTTTAACAGTAAGAGACAGAATAACAACAAAAAAATCCAGAAAAACGCATTTCAAAAAAGTATACAAATTGATTTGCATTTGAATGAGTAAAATAAGTATTTGTTTCCCTATCAATCAGCAAGATTTCTGGCTCCCAGGTGTCTTTTATACAGGTAATGAGCTGATATTAGGAGCACTCTCTTAAAGGTAGTGCTCGTAATCTCAACTTGTTACCTATATAAAAGATACCTGTCCACAGAAGCAATCTATCAATCAGATTCTAAATTCTCTACCATGGCCAAGACCAAAGAGCTGTCTAAGGATATCAGGGACAAGATTGTAGACCTACACACGGCTGGAATGGGCTTCAAGACTATTGCCAAGCAGCTTGGTGAGAAGGTGACAACAGTTGGTGTTTTTATTTGCAAATGGAAGAAACACAAAATAACTGACAATTTCCCTCACTTTGGGGCTCATGAGAACGGTAAGGAATCAGTCCAGAACTACACAGGAGGATTTTGTCAATGATTTCAAGGCAGCTGGGACCATAGTCACCAAGAAAACAATTGGTAACACACTACGCCATGAAAGACTGAAATCCTGCGGTGCCCGCAAGGTCCCCCTGCTCAAGTAAGCACATGTACAGGCCCATCTAAAATTTGCCAGTGAACATCTGAATGATTCAGAGGAGAACTGGGTGAAAGTGTTATGGTCAGATGAGACCAAAATCGAGCTCTTTGGCATCAACTCAACTCGCTGTGTTTGGAGGAAGAGAAATGCTGCCTATGACCCCAAGAACACCATCCCCACTGTGAAACATGGGGGTGGAAACATTATGCTTTGGGGTTGTTTTTCTGCTAAGGGGACAGGACAACTTCACCGCATCAAAGGATCGATGGACCGGGCCATGTACCGTCAATTTTTGGGTGAGAATCTCCTTCCTTTAGCCAGTGCATTGAAAATGGGTTGTGGACGGGTATTCCAGCATGGCAATGACCCGAAACACAACAGCCAAGGCAACAAAGGAGTAGTTTAAGAAGAAGCACATTAAGGTCCTGGGGTGGCCTAGCCAGTCTCCAAACCTTAATCTCATAGAAAATCTGTGGAGGAAGCTGAAGGTTTGAGCTGTCATTAAGGTTTCAGCCTTGAAACCTTAATGACTTGGAGAGGTTCTGCAAAGGGGAGTGAGACAAAATCCCTCCTGAGATGTGTGCAAACCTGGTGGCCAACTACAAGAAACATCTGACCTCTGTGATTGCCAACAAGGGTTTTGCCACCAAGTACTAAGTCATGTTTTGCAAAGAGGTCAAATACTTATTTCACTCATTAAAATGCAAATCAATTGATAACTTTTTTGAAATGCATTTTTCTGGATTTTTTTGTTATTCTGTCTCTCACTGTTAAAATAAACTTACCATTAAAATTATAGACTGATCATTTCTTTGTCAGTGGCAAACAGATAAAATCACTGTATATACTGAAAATATACATATTAAACCTATGCACATCTACTGTCCTCAACTTCCTTCCCTACCCCACCCACAACAACAAAAAATATCACCACTGTACAAAATACAACTTGGTCATATTGATTTCCTGTCTTTCTTTAGCTTTTAGCTAATCATACAACCTTTGACAGACTCCATGACAAGCATGCCATGTTTGTTTTTTAATATTTCAGGTTTTGTGGTCTTTGCAACACTCATTGTCATTGTATCCTTGATCATGATCTTTGTAGTAGGACCCCGACATGGGCAGACCAACATTCTTGTGTACATAACAATTTGCTCAGTCATTGGAGCTTTATCCGTATCCTGTGTAAAAGGTTTGGGCATTGCTATAAAGGAACTTTTTGCAGGAAAAGCTGTGCTGAAACATCCATTGGCCTGGATTTTGCTGCTAAGTCTTATTGCTTGTGTAAGCACACAGATTAATTATTTAAATCGGGCCCTGGACATATTCAACACTTCTATAGTGACACCAATCTATTATGTGTTTTTCACAACATCTGTTTTAACCTGTTCTGCGATCCTCTTCAAGGAATGGCAACACATGGCAGCTGATGACATTATTGGCACATTTTGTGGCTTTATCACTATAATCGTGGGGATATTTTTATTGCATGCCTTTAAGGATGTCAATTTTTCCCTATCAAATTTGCCTGTGACATTGCATAAAGATAACAAAGGAATAAATGGCTGTGTGCCAAGCACATATGAACTATTTAATCACGATGAAGAAAGTGCTACTCGCATAAGTGACCTACACTCCCCTGATGGAATATCTTCCAGGAGAAATGGAAATCTGTCAGCTTCCTAAAGAAAACAATTCTGTAACTTTTGTTTCATTGTGAAAAGCCAGTTTTACAACATTTTTCAAGCAGATATGTTTAAATAGTACTGTAGACAATCATTTTTTTTAGATTTGACTAGCTTGGACCAAGAGCAGTGGTGGATTTTTATTTGCCTTACTCTTAATTTAAAAATACTAAAGAACCCCACTCTCTTATTTGCTTAACTTAGTATAAACATGTAAATATTCTGTTTTTGTTTAAGACTAATTACAGTTTTAACAAATAAAATGCTTTATTTCTGATGAGGAAGTGATCTGTTGGTCATGCACACCTACAAATCTTTTGTGATAATTTGGTGAATTATGCAGTGACTTGTTCTTATTATGAGACAGTGCTATTCATCCATAAACAATCTGTATTTGGACAATTTATGGTCAGCTGCACCCAATTAGGCTAGATTCTAGGAGATTTGCAGTTGCAGCCAATGTATTTATATTTAATCAATAACCAGACATTCCTGAGAAATGAGACAAGTGATATCAGCTCACAAAGGTCATTACATAGAAAAATGCTATTTTAAGAAGTACCTAGGTGTAAACTATGTTTGTATATATTAGCACATACCTGAAACACACACAAATACTTAGTGGTTTCATATTTAAAATGCTTTATGTTGAGATTACTATTGGATAATGCATACAATTGGCAAATTTATTCATTCCGTTCTTGAAAGTAGGAGGAAGGAATAAAATAAACTGTTGCCTTATTTTCCCTTTCCAGTCTTTCTACTGTAATAGCTATTACCTATATGGTTTGACTCTGTTCTTCTGGAATACCAAATGCAATAAAAAATTCATGTACCTTTCTACTCCCTCTAAAGCAGAGACAAATCAGCAGGCAGAAGCCAGGCTTAGAGGTGTTTGCAAAATGGAGGAATGCCTGTAGATTATGTTTCAGCCTCCATATGGAAGAGAAAAAAATTGAGAAGCTGACCTTCAAAATTGGGAAGGTGGAAACTAATCGACCAAGCTGGGAAAAGGTTAGATGACAATGAATTAAATAACATCCTGATAAAATGCAATAGGAAGAGAGCATCAGATGCTACTTGTTTAATCTACTTTCATCAGTTTAGCAGTTGATTGCATTCAGAGTTCGGAAAAAAATCTCAAAATGTTTGAAAGAACAAAAATGGAATGAAATTAAATGCTTCAGTTAATGGAAGCATCTGTTGTGGGAAACAGTGTGGATTGTTGTAGCAGTTTTTAGGTGTTCTGCAATACAGGTAATCATATACCAATCAAGAACTCTGTTGGTAAGTGACAAAGTAATTAGATGTGATGTCATGGGGCTGGCAGATTATGATAGTTGTGGCAGTTCCAGTTGTCATCATTATGCAAGTTCCACCCAATCGTATCATAGTCACATGATAGCCATTTGCAGGGCTCACCTTCTCCTGCTGGCTTCCCCACTGACTTTGCTTGTTAGAAGGCTGCAAACAGTGATCATGTGACTGCAAGATGCTGTAAAGGCCACAATCATGAGACCTGGTAGTAGATATTCTTTGTTTAACACCATAATGAGGAAAGATTGCCAAACAAGTAAACATTAAATCAGGATTATCCATAATCTTTTTAAGCAGGGATAGGCAATATTTTAACTGGAAGCACTGCAGTGAGCAGACATATATAATGAAAATGAATAGAATAATGACTTCCCATTATTCTTTATTTCTGGGGGGTATCCCAAGTTATTTTAACATTTAGAAAATAAATTTATGGTAGCATTCCATAACATTACAGTGGGACTGAATAGTTCAAAATTTATCACATTGTGTTAACCAGGCTAAATATTTTGTGAACTTAGATATTTGTTTCCTGCTTCCAATTAGAATGAAATTTTATGGCTATGAGTTGATTATTTCTACTCTTAGGTATGATAATCTATAGTCTTAGAATAGTTTGCATTGTATTAAAATTTTAATATTACTGCCTACATTATAAATACAATTAGGCTACTTAGAAAATTGGATAGAGATAATCTCTCTTACAAACATGTCATAACTTGATACATAATTGAAACAGTGATTCTTAGACCAGGAAAGCCAAAAAATACTTTAAAATTACAGTAACATTTAATTCAAAATTTTGAGAGAACAAAGAAAACCCTTAGAAAATTGTTAACTATTGAATCGTGACTCATCAAAGTATAATTCTTGAACAGTTAAGAGTCCGAAGACAATTTTTCTAAAACTAAACAACCCTTGAAACTGGTATAATTCTAAGCAGGTAAGTGTAAGTAAGTTGTGTTCCCTACATACCATTCCACAATAATTCCATCTTCAACTTTATTTGCTTCTACTGAGATATAAAAACAGGATTCAATTATATTAGAAACTAAAAAAACCAGAAGTCCTTTATTCTAAGGGTATTTACCGATTCCCTAAATCTGAATAAACACAAAGCATTAATGATTTCTATCTTACAATCATACTTTTAAAATCTCATTAAAATCTTTTATTTCCAAAGGTGATTACATTCTGGAGTAAAATAGTTTTCTAAAGAGAACATTCTATTGATTAAAAAATAGCGAATGGAATGTCTTTAAAAAGTAAGCTGAATAGCTTAATACTTTTCTTATACAAAAACTTTTCAAGCACACTCCTATAATAAAACTCACTTTAGTTAGCAAAAGTAAATAAAGATCCCTTATATTAATCCTTTAAAACAATTATAAAAACTGGAGAAACACAAAGATTTATGCCTAAAATAGTTGCACTGCAAAGTTTTATAAAAAGTATTTAAAAAGTAGTCTAAAAACTGAAATTCATGTACAGTCATTCAGTTTGAAAACAACCATTCAAACGTTTTAGTTGATCCTGGAAAGCAATGAAGATCAGGGCAGGCTCCCTTAAGCAATAAATCTAGTTTCAAAATGTGCTGCAACTAACCATTGTTTCCAAAAGATCACTGATCTTTTCTAGTTGCTAGCCAAAGACTGGTGAATGGGAGGTTGGAAACAGCGGACATGTTCCACCGGTGTGCTTTCTCCATCACCAGATTTCAAATACTTGTCCAGTGTGGCAATAATTTCATCATTCAGGATCTGGAACTTGCGAATTCTCTCGACCATTTTTTTTAAGGGCTACAAAACCAAAATTATAATCAGAAAAAGGCAATGACACCAAATGAAATACAAAGTGAGAAATAAACCTCGGTCAAACCTACCACATTCTTGATTACTTCATCTTTGCCATCATGCTTCTGTACTTTCAGTAAGTGATAACAGAAATCAAGCACATCAAATCGACGCTGCTGTCCTAAGAGCACAATAATCATACAGCCAGCCCAATGCAGCCCATCTCCAAAACACTGTCTGCAAAGTAAAAGTGTAGAGAAAGCACTACATGATATTCAGTAGGGTAAATCAAGATACTGGATTTATTCCCAATCCCAAGTCTTGTCACTAACTTGCCCAGAATTAATAACATTGACTGAATGTTTTGCAGAGTTTTACAATATGTTTTTATTATATGGCACTGCTATTATAAGTAGGCAATCAAAGACTAAACTTCAGAAATGGGTAGGGGAGAGTCCATTTAGGATGGAATTTCAGATTTAGGGGTGAAATCGATACCTTAAAATATTTGTCCCTATAACTAATTAAAAATGTGAAGAAAGAGCCAAATATTGGATTTTATTTTGTGTTGTCTTTTTTGAATTCTGTCTACTTCATGGTGTTTTTTGGGGGATCAAAAAAATGTAGCCATTTCTGCATCCCTGCCTAATATTCCTGTATGCTATCTTTGCCTCTAAAGAAAGAATTACAGGACCACAGAATCCCTCCAAAATTAAAAACAAAACTGATTTGAAATCTCCAAAGTTTAGATGCTGAAAAACAAAGAATCACTGTAATCATAGTCAATGTGTATCATTAGATTATCATTTTTGCATTTATCAAACTACATTTAAAATAGTATTTTAACATGTTAGTCTAACAGATGGGTGTCAAACTCGATTGCGTCATGTGACATATCATGTAGCGTGATTTTTGCCTTTGCTGAACCCAGGTGGGCATGGCCTGCGCATGACGTATCCAGCCCACGGGCTGCCAATTTGACACCCTGGTCTAACATAACTGACTATTAAAATTATTAAAGGCTTAAGACTGATCATCCAAATGCATTTGAGTAACGCAGCTGTATTAACATTAATATACGGTTTACTGATATTTGCAAAGGAATTAAGAATTTGCTGATACAGTAAATTCTTAATTCCTTTGTTATATCATAGCCACATCTAACTTCTGAAATAAAAATAAAGCACTATTAAATAGCAAAGCCTTTGCCAGCATTTGAATACATACTCTACAGTAAATTCATGGGTTCCCACTGGAATACAGTATACAAACTGCATTGCACTCCACAGGCGGTGAAATTCTACACACTCATCTACGTGCATCACACCATTGCTAGGGAGAGGCCCACGCCATATGGGATCATCCAGGAACATTCGAATCCTTGTTAAGATGACTTCAAACATAGAAAGTCCACAGCAGAGACGCTCCTTGGTTAGCAAATCTCCTTCTCTTGCAATGGCAATTTGCTATAATTGCAACCAACAATACAGTTTCAGTCTATAAGAACTTATTAACAAGGAAATGAGCTACTGAGTTTCAAATAGGATGGAAAATGATACTTTGTCATCCTAGTTTAAATTGTTTTTACAACTGAAATTTAGATGAAAGTCATACAAAATAATGTATAATAAAAATGAACTAAAACTTGAAATAAAAATAAAATCTATACAATATTAACATATAACTCATTCTTTTACCAAATTAAATCTATATGATAAAGAAATACAGATAATCCCTGAGTTACAAGCATTCACTTAACGTTCGTTTGAAGTTATGTAACCAGCGCCCCCTAGTATTTACGGGAATATCCCAAAATTACAAATATTGCAGCACCACAGCAGTCGTTCGCCTTTATGAGCAACCGCAGAGGCTCTGCAACATTCATGCTATTCCTCCCCTCCCCACAACTGTTTCCCCCTCCTTTCCTGCTGCACCAACTCACTTATCTTGCAAAATCTGCCTCCTCTCTGCTGCAGTTTCTTTCCCTTTGAGGGAGAGGAGAGTCAGCTTGGAAATACTTTTCGCCCCGACAATGGAACCAAATGTTTATCCATCAGTTGCAACAGGAATTGATCAAACGGCTTGTTGCCTAGCCCAGAAGTGGTCAATTAATTTTCCCAATGAGACATAGAAGAAACTGGGATTGATGCAGATGGTCATCGTCCTTTCT